ATTTTGATTATTTGTTTTCATTTGAACTGAATTTTCTCTAGGTTAAGAATTTTCTCTGGGTTGAGAATTTCTCTGGAGAATTTTCTCTAGGTTGAGAATTTCTCTGGAGAAAATTCAGTTCAAATGAAAAAAAAATAATCGAAATAGACGTTCTGTGAGCTAAATTACTAGAGAAATTCTCAACTTAGAGAAAATTCTCAACCCAGAGAAAATTCAGTTCCATTGCCAAATACTCCTGGAAGCTTGCAATTCACTGTTGCGTTTTGCCAAAGCTTCTTTCAACATCTTCGTTTCTTCTTCCATTGCCAATAGACATTTTGTGAGCTAAATACCAGAGCTAAATTTTAAATATTATTACACAAAAAAAAAAAAAGAATGGCAGAAGTGCACAAGTTTCTTTTCCTTTTACATATCTCAATTAGAGATCAACATCAAACCTGAGATAGCTTCTTCAGCAACTTTAGTATGTCGTTTCACTAGGTTGTCCTTGTTAGTCATCTCTGAATGGGCTGCAGATAGCTGCCATGAGATCGGAAATGGGGTTTTGTTGGATCATGCGACGAGGTTCTTGATAAGGCTGGTGTTGTTCTTCTCGTTAGTGACAAAGTCTATCTTCATCCCGATAAGGTACTTCTCTGCGGTCAGTTTGATCTAGATTCTGTTTTTGTTCAGTATGTTTTTTTTATGAATTCTACATACTCTCAGGTTTATTATCAGTTTTTTGGTATGTTTTTGATATGTTTCATCGTGATTTTGTTTGTTTTGGGTCAGATTAGGGTTTTTGAATTTGTAATAGGCTTCATTGCATTTTTTCCCCTCTGTATTTATCTTCTTGATATATACAAAGTTGCCCATGATGTTAAAGTAGAGAAATTTGCCTCCATCTTGGGCATCCCAATCACATAAATTGGAATTTCTCTGGATTGGAGAGGAAGAATTTATCTGGTTTGGGTTGGAGAGGGAGAATTTCTCTAGGTTAAGTGAATTTCTCTGGATTGGAGATGAGAATTTTTCTGGTTTTCAGTAAATTTCTCTGAGTTAGAAAGGGAAATTTCTCTGGGTTGAAGTGAATTTATCTGGAAAGTCCAGAGAAATGTGAGATTTTCTCTGTGCAATCCAGAATTTCTTTGAATAGAACTTCTTTGGGAAAAATTTCTCTGGGCTGAAATTTCTTTGGACTGAAATTTCTCTAGACTGAAATTTCTCTGGATCAACTTGAGGGACCTTAAACATTATGAAAATATTAGATGTCCTTCATGCTATAAAATCTTAATACGAGAGACTTTAAAAAAAAACCCCATAAAAATACCTTACAAGCATTTTGTTTGCACCCATTTTAGTAATTCTTCTGTTGGCAGGGAGTGAAAAGTTGCTTATGACCTGTGGCAAGGAAGCTTGAAGATGTTTTACTGGGCCAAAGTATATGCAATGTGGTGAAGGCAATCAATGAATTAGTTACAAACAATTGAATGATGGGCCAATTTTCGAAAGGCGTTTAGTGCTTGTAAATGGTAAGATGGCCTATCGATATGGGTCAATAATTCATGAGAAATACGTAACAGTGCTTGTGAAGTTCAAGCTTGCTTTAGAGAGAAAAGGCAGTGAACTACAAATTATTTTTTTTTGTTGATTGTGGCATGTTGATTATGGCCAAATTTAGGCCAAGTTTGGGAAGTGCAAAAAAAGTTAAAAAGTCAAAAAATTACTCAAAAAGTTAAAAAGTTATCACTATTCACCAAAAGTCAAAAATTACGGCTGCATATCTCCCAATACTAATTTTCTCCTATACACTAATTTATATAATTTTTTAATACACATTTTTTCATAAAAAGTCAAAAAGTTAACCCAAACATCCATATTTTTTTCCTCAACTTTTTAGTCCAAAAAGGCAAAAAATGCACTTATTTAGGACACCCCAAACAATCCCTTAGTCTAATTGATTGTGACTTGTCAACTATGGCCAAATCTAATTTCATTAATTGTGGCTTGTAAATTGTGGCCTGTCAATCATGGCCAAATCTAATCTCATTGATTGTGATTTACTGATTTTGGTCTGTCGATTCAGACCATATATCATCTTTAAATATCTACTATGACCACATTATTATTATTATTATTATTATTATTATTATTATTATTATTATTTGTTTTGTTATTGTTTGCAGATGATGGAAATGGGCTTGGAAAATGGTGGCAAGTTAGCAACGTGTGGCAGTTTTAGCACTTTATAAGGGACGTGGGTTGATTTTGTTTCATGAAGTGACCAAACTGCCTCCAGCAGTTATACTTCGAATGAGAAATTGTCAATTGTTACTCTACAAATAGACTAAAGACATACTGGAGAAGGCATCATCAACAATACAAAGAACTAGTCTAAACTTAGTATAATCTAGGAGTAGCTTTCTTAGTTTAGGAGTAGTTTCTCTCTGTAATTTGTAATCTTTATGAATACTGGTGATTTCATCTTGAAATCATCTTTAGTTTGCTCTATTTACTTTGTTTGCTATTGTGGATTGTAACTTTTGTTTCAAAGAAGTCCTTATACTTTCAAGACATTTAAATCAAAAAGCACAATTGCCTTTTGTTCAATTGTTTATTTAAATTATTGTTCAAATCGTATTGATTGCAAGTGAGCATAATTTTTACTAAAACATCTATAAAGTTTTAGTATAAGGGGTTGTTTGGGATGAACTGTATAAGTGTATTTTTTGACTTTTTGTCTAAAAAAATAGAGGAAAAAAAATGGCTGTTTGATATAACTTTTTGACTTTTTACAAAAAAAATATGTATTAAAATATTGTATGAAACATTAAAATTACATTCTTACCCCTTTGAGTACTGACATACTTTCCGTGCATGTCAGTACGGTTGCACTAGCTTTGTTGTTATTGTTAAATTCTGTGCATGTCAGCAATGGCAATTTTATCCTTTTGTCTTCTGAAGTATTTTGTCTTTTTTCCCCCCAAATATTGTGAATAATGTTAAATTATTTATTTTTTTTAATAATTTTTTGACTTTTTATTTTTTTTAAGAGATTCCAAACAAACACTAAATTTTAATTATGTTTTGAGAATATTTGGAGGGCCACAGCCACGCTTAGCCACCCCCTTCATTCGTCAGTGATAAAAAGACCCACTACTTTGAATGCATGTGATTAAACTCGTAACAAGATTTTGAAAACGACAACTTATCATAATATAAAAGTGTTAAAAATTATAAAAATTTATTTTAAATTTTATTTTAGAAGTGAGTGTGTGATATAGTTTAATATAGGCCACACCTCTATTGTAGGTCAACTATTTTTATTTTCTTTCTGAATAAATATTTTAGATAACATTATTGTAATATTAAATTCATAGAATTCAGAAGCGTGTGATAATGTTTGGAAACCCCAGAAAGAGGACCTCCACAATTCTTACTGATGTATGGATTATTGATATGTTTGATTATTATTTATTTATTTTTTTATCTCTAACAGTAACATAAATGATCCAGATCATTTTAAAAAGGGGAAAATTGGCCTAAGGTCCCTCCTCTACTTTTGATATGAGGAGAGGTCTTTATTTTTTTTATCCCTAACAGTAACATAAATGATCCAGATCATTTTAAAAAGTGTGAGATTATGTTTTATAAGGTCTCTATTATTATTATTTTTAAAGCCATAGGTTGAAGATAGTACCTAAAAGACAGAAAAATAGGATTTGATGTTGTACTCAACGTTGAATCAAGACCAATAAATTTATTAGTCAGGAATGGACAGCAAAAGGATAGCTAACGAGAAGTATATACAATTTTTGTACTTTTAGGCTTCGTTTGGGAACAGGCTAATTTAGTAACTTTTTGGCTATTTGGCTAAAATATGAGTTAAAAAAAAACTAGTATGTTTGGGATGACTTTTTGGCTTTTTACGAAAAGATGTGCAAAAAGTAGAGAGAAAAGAGAATCTTTGACTTTTTGGTATGGGTTGTTAGCTTTTTGGCTAATTTAGTAACTTTTTGACTTTTTGGCTAAAAATGAGAGTTCCCAAACGAGGCCTTATTATATATATTAGTAAAATGAAAGAATCAGAAGTGATCCAAAAATAAGAGGTATAAACATAAAAAAAGAAAATATTTTTTTTAAGAGATCAATGAAAGGTTATCTTTTATAAATGAGGAGTTCCAACTAAGAGTGTGCATGGGTTGGGTCGAATTCAATTGGGGACATATTTTTAAATCAAACTGTCTTGCTATGTAGATATTTATTTATTTATTATTGTTTTTTTTCACCCACAGCTAACCCACCTACATCAAAACTGATTAATTGAATACATTTTTATGATGGTTTCGAACTAATGGTCAGCCGGGTTGGTGAGTTGGTCTCGAAAGTTTTGAATATGCAAGCTAGGAGAATTTAATTAGTAAAATGATCATATTACAACTAACAAAAAATAAAAAAATAAATAAAAGAAGTAGCATATGTATGGGAGGATAGAGTTTGACAGCATTGAAAGATGATCACTCTGTTTGGTTTTAGATTTGGAGTTTTTAAAAATAGTTTTATGAGTTTTTAATTTGTATTTTTATATTTTTAGTGATTTTGTTTAATTTTTTTTATAATCTTGATATACTTAAAAAATATAAAATTTGTACAAAAATCTTTAAAAAATTCATTGAATACAATAAAATATGGAAAATATAATGAAGTTTCATATTCTTTTGTCTTTGATTAATTTTCAAATTTTTTTCACAAATATAATTTTTTTAAGTGTATTTATATTAGATGTATCTAAAAAAATTTAAAAAATACATAAAATATTAAAAAAAATACTAAAAAATAAAAGAAAAAACAACAAAAAAATCAAAATTTTTTTTTAAAAAAAAAAAAAAGAGAAATCTTTAATTCAATTTTCACAAAATTCGATTTGCAGTTGCAGGATTAGACTAGCTCATACAAATGAGACACAGATTTTTATATGAGAGAATGTTGCTGTCACGAAAAAAATTACAAAAGGTGGTAAATTATATAAATACTAATAATTATAATTATAATTTTTTTTCATTAATATTTGATAATTTTTCAATGTACATCCCGAATTGTAATATTCCCTTCTTATTTCAATAATCAAGATATAGTCTTCTTCTTCTTCTTCTTCTTCTTCTTCTTCTTCTTCTTCTTCTCAGGATAGGGGAGGAGAGATCCCAAAATCAACCATGGTCTACAACCCGATTGGTTCCATAAGGTCTGGTGTTTTTCCACTGCACCTAGTTATGTGCTCTTTTATGCATAAAAGTTCAAGTCAGATGACCTTTGTGTGGGGATGGCAATCAAGGGTGTCTCTTTCTTGATAACAATCCCAAACTTCTCTGAAAGATCAAGCTCTTCGCCCTCTGGCAAGTGCCAATTGAATGAATGCAAAAGTGAAGCCAACACATACATCACCATTTTCTCTGCAAGAGGAATGCCAGCACATATTCTCCTCCCTGATCCAAATGGAAGATACTGAAAATTGTTGCCGGTGTAGTCCCATTTGTTGTCGTCACCCAAGAACCTCTCCGGCCTAAACTCTGACGGATTGTCCCAAAAGTCAGGGTCCCTTTGGATTGCCCAAACGTTCAAAAACACCCTAGTGCCCTTTGGTATGGTGTATCCGCCAACTACACAAGATTGGCTAGGACACCGAGGGACTAAGAGAGGGACTGCAGGGTGTAATCGAAATGTTTCCTTCACGACCGCATCTAAGTAGAGTAATTTGGGCAAATGGAACTCTTCAACAAAGTTGTTCATTCCCACAATGTCTGATAATTCTTCTTGGACTTTTTTCATTAACTCTGGGTTATGCATGATCTCCGTCATCACCCACTCCACCATGGTGGCTGTAGTGTCTGTTCCCCCCACTACAATGTCCTGTTGTAAACATTTGCAAGCACAAATTTAAGTTCATGGATTGAGAGTTTCATGAATTTAGATGTCACTACAAAAAAAATTAAAGTTTTGAAGACCAAAATTTAGGAATAAAATTATTTTTTAGGGACTAAATATTTTTATTGCGAAAAGTGTCGTTATTATATTTTTAACAACAAAAATTAGACATTAGTGATGAATTATTATCCTTTTGGGCCCAAATATTTTGTCTCAAAAAATAAATTATTTTGAGATCAAATTATTTTGTCTCTAAAAGTCGATTTATTAGTGACATTTTTAAAATTTTGTCACTAAAAGTCTTGTTTTGGACTTTTCTGGACAACCTTTTAGCGACTATCCTCATAACGATAGAAATTGGTCTCTAAATATCTTTTACAACAAAATTTTCATTTTTAAAGACCAAAACATTTGATTTCTAAAACTCTTATTTGTTGTCGTGTGTATTGGTTTCTATTGTTGAAACAAATCTATTATTGCAAGCAATTGGCAGTTTGAGAATGCATTCACCCAAAACAATAACGTGTTTAAAAAAGTTTCATCCTTAAATTTTAGGGGCATTTATTCATAAATATTTTTTCATTTACTTATATTCTACTTAATTTAAATTACTTTATTATATTCTAATGAGTTCTATGAGTGATATAGTTATCAAAATACTTTTAACAAATTGGTGGAATCTGTCGAGGAGATGGATCAGCAAGATGAAGATAAGAAAGAGGAGTATAGACTCCTTTGGCTGAAGCAAAAGAAACCTTGCTAATGGGATAGAAGTTGCAGATAGATTTCGTTGATAGAGAAGACATCTTGCAAAAGGATTTTATCGAGTTGGAGATGAGCAAAAAGCCAAGAAGTGGGATGGTGTTTGTCCTGGGTGTGAAAAAGTCTTTGATTGATTAAAGTGAGTGGGGTAAGGGTTGTGTATAATATCATAAAAGGAAAATGATTGGTGACCCTAAAAAAGTTGTTCCTAATACCTTTAATTTCTAATTTTGGAAATTGTTTCTTTTTTTCTTTCTTTTTTATTATTATTTTTTTTTTTTATACCTAAAATGGAATTTCGGGGCATTCGAGCCCCGAAATTTAGGGCCCTCAAGCAGCACCGATCATAAAATTCGTTAAAATGTGGGGTGCACTAAATAATTATTAGAAGGGTAATGGGATGTGATGGAAAGTAGGGGAATGGTGTTTGTCCTGTGTGTGAAAAAGTCTTTGATTGATTAAAGTGAGTGTTGTAAGGGTTGTGTATAATGTCGTAATGATAGACAGTAAGTAGAAAGTGATTGATTTGATGAATTTATATGAATTTTTAATGTATATAATTAGACGAGTTCATACGTTTGTAATGAATTTGACACCTCCACTCCATACGATGAGCAGTTTGATACGATCGTAGAAAAGTGATTATAATTTATAATTTAATAGTTTATATTTTATAGTTGTGAATATAAATTAATTTTTAATTTATAAATTAAATTTTTCATTCCTCAAACAAAGAATAAGTTGATTTTTTATTTATAAAAAATTATAAATTGTATTGTTAAATTGAATTAAACATATCAAAATAGTTTAAATTAAACTAAAAATTTAAATAAGTTAGAAATAAATTCTACCAAACAGGCCGATATATCACAGGAATAAACAACATAGAGAAGGAAGGTCAAAATCCGAAAGGATTATTAAAAAAAATATTAAAAAAAAAAAAGTCATAAAATCACGATCTTTGTGAAAGAGAGAAAATACCGTCAACAAGGCCTTTATTTGTGTCTTGGTAATTGGTGTCGCACCATCTTCCCCCTTGAGCTCCAACAAAATCTGCAAAAAATCCTTCTTCCCTCCGTCGTTGACCGCCTCCATTTTCACCCGTGCATCAATCACAGAATCAAAAACCCTCTCCACATCGACGACTATCTCCTTCATCTCCCTCTCCACTCCTTGCAAATCAAACCTCGCCAGCCCAGGAAAAAAATCAGACAAGTTGGGCTTCCCCAACAGCACCATCATCTTCGCTGTCGCCGCTCGAAACTCAGCTCCAACACGACTATTAACCTTCTCCTGAATATTAAATGTGCTCCCCCACAACATGCTCAAAACAACATTAAACTCTGTCAAAAAAACAATCTCCCCAATTTCAACAGGCTTGCCAATCTTTCTATACACTTGTGTAATAGTCTTGCGAACCTCGGTTCTTCGAAGATTGTAACCGGCTTCCAGGCTACTGTTACTGAGCATTTCTCTGACAAATATTTTACGCATGTTGCGCCAGTGGGAACCGTAGGAAGACCACGCAATGTCCTGGGCACCGTACGTGGCAGCCAGGGCTGAGATGGGAGGGTCACGGTTGGAGAAAACAATGTCCTGGTCACGGACCACTTGTTTTGCCAGGGACGGTGAGGTTATAACGACATAGAGTTTGTTTCCGAGCCAGAGCTTGAAGACTGGGCCATAGTGGTGAGCAAGATGTGAGAATGAATGGTGGAGGTTTGTGCCGAGGAATGGGAGGTACCCGAGCACAGGTAAGCCACGGGGTCCTGGTGGGAGTGGAGCCTCGGTTGTTTGGTTTCTGGAATTGGTGAATGTCCGTAGGTACCAGAAGAGGGGTAGTATGAGAATTGAGAGAGTGAGGATGGCTCCAGCGAACTCATATATGTTGTTAATAAGTTGGCTCAACCATGGTGTCCATTGCTGGAGAACTGTGGTTGAGAGATTATTGAAAAGATCTGAAAGCATGGTTAGGAGAGAGTGTTTTTCAGGACAAGGATGCAGAAGAACAACTTGAAAAAAAATTGTAAACGAGATGAGGTGCCAACTAGAGGAGACCATCGCTGATTTATATAAAATAAAAAATAAAAAACTAGTGGCCATTTATTCAACAATAATACTATAGATTTAGAAAAGTTATTTAATAAAATGCTCAAAATATATATATATATATATAAAGAAAAAATAAAATCATTGACTTTTTTATATAAATTATAAATTTTTTGATTTTTTTAATAATTTTTTGACTTTTAGACTTAAAGACTGACATGCCAAATGAGGCCTTAATATAGTAGTATAGAAAGATAGATTATTGTTTAGAAAAATGCTTCGGACCCCCACTGGGGGTCGATCCCCAGTGAGGTGGCACGTCGTGATTGGATAAAAAAAAAATTATTTTATTTTATTTTATTTTTTTCTGAGTTTCAGCCAGTGGGAGGCTCGCCACCTCACTGGGAGTCTGCAGCATAGTTGATTCCAAAATTGTAACAAAAAATTTTCATTATATTATTTAAGAATTATAAAATAATCATTAAAATTTAAAAATAATTATTACATACCCTTAAATGATGTAATAGAAATCTTGTAATGGGGAGGATATTAAGACGGTGTTTGGAAACTTGGTTTTGGGATTTTTTTATTTATTTATTTTCACTACAAGACAAATGCTTTACAAAATTAAAAAAAAAAAAAAAAATCAAACAAAATATCACATCAAATTTATAATCATTTCAATTTTTCTCCCACAAACTTCACATCCAACCACAAAAAACCCCAACTATCTTCTCAAACACAAAAAAAATTTCTCCGATAGTATCCTACAACTAAAAAAACCAACAAAAAAACCTACTTCCCAAACACCCACTAAATCTATACTATAGATTTTATTTTCATAGTGATTTTCCTTTGTCCAGTCGGTGGTTGAGGTTCAATTAGAGGCTATCCACAACTGCGAAACATACCTACCAATTAGATATGCTTCGAAGTAATTTTCTTTCATCCACTCAATGGTTCAGGTTCGATTAGAGGATATCCACATAACCGCGAAGCATATTTTAGCATAGATTCTAAAGATAATGCCAACACCGAAGGATGCCTCAGGGCTCTGGAGTTTTTGCACGATTTTGACACTCTTTGTATGCATTAAAAACACCATTTCAATTCTGCCAAGACCTTATTTTCATAATACTATTTATATAATATTCTTTTTGTGAAGGACAAAAGTTCATCTTAAGCGTGATAAGGAAAGCCTAAAAGAATTAAGTAGGCCTAAACATGTCAGAAAAGAAAAATTATCATGACAGAACAGATAGATTAGCTTAAACAAAATATAGAATAAGAGTGAAAAGACATTTACTAAAACAGTTGTATTACATTCTCACAAAAAAATTCCCATAAAAACACCCCTGCATGTCTCTAACCAATAAATTCATACTGTTCAAAGTTTGTGAAGGGGTTGCTTTTATAAGAGATTTTTGTATGAATAAATCATTTTCCTTACTATAATTGAATTGTTTGATATTTGACAACATCTAATGGTTGGTTGGATATCTACCACGGATGGCATCTAAAACATCATAAATATAAGGGGAGGCAGCAAACCAGGTTAACTACAACTAACATCCCTTCTCCACTCTTGAATATCTCGATTGATTATTGATTTAATCGTGGGAATATTTTCTCAACTAGGTTCAATAATTTATTTAATAAAAAATTAATTACACATTTTAATATTATTTTCACCAAACAATATCATAACATGTTAATCTCTTATACAATCTTATAAAGTAGAATACACAAATATGTAAAATAAGATTGTAGGGTCACTTTTGTTTTCCATTTAAAATAATCCAGTATTTTTAAACTAATAGACAGAACATAAATAAAATTTTTAATTAGAAAAATTAAATTAAGTTAAAATTAAATATTTTTTGTAAATAATGTTATCACGCAAATCTTTTTTTTGTATCTTGAACTTTCAAACCAGATAGGATTTTTTTCGGTATGATTTATTTTTTTGGTTTATTACAAAGAGAAATGTTTTAGACCACTAATTAGTGGTGACTCTAATGATGTGGTAGTGGGTCTCACCCACTGTTTGTTTATTCTTCTTTTTTTTTTTTTTTTCTAATTGTCACCTCACTAGTAGTTGGATTAGTGATGGTAAATTAGTGATTTATAGCATTTCTTTATTACAAAATACATGTAAAAAAAAAAAGAAAAAAAAGAAGAAGAGATGTGATATAATAGTAATAATAATAATAAGTCAATAAGTAACTTATTTGAGGGTGTCCCCAAAAGAGGCCATAATTTCATTTTATATAAACTCATTTTTTTTTTTATATAAAATTTACACATAGTCATCAATATTTATTAAATAAGACTAATATATAATTTTATTTTACAATTTCAAATTAAATTCTATGAAGAGATATCGGTCTGTATTGTAATCTAACTAATTACTACCTTGTGCAAAAATTAACAATAATAATGAAATGAACCTATAGGACTATTTTGGAAAGATTGTTAAAAGTCATCTTTTAGTTTTTAATTCATTTTTGGTGATATTATCTCTCATATTTTTTACACATTTTTTTTAAAAAGCTTAAAAAGTGAAAGAAAAAAAAATAATTTTTAATCATTTTTCCAAAACCATCCATAAAAGATAATTATAATAAAAGAAAAAAAAAGAAGAAAGGATTTTTTTTATTATTAATTTTTTTTTTAGTAAGTAAGTCATAAATTAAAGACAAAGGAATACAAATGCAAGGGGCATACCCCAGGCTCTACCAAACAAACACTATACAACAACGAAAAAGAAAACAAAAGACAAACGGACAACACCATGGCACACCTATCCAAAAAAAGCAAAAGGAAAGCGGCCCACCTGATAAACAGAGCAAAACGTATAGGACATAAATATGACACCAGAATGATATGTTCATGGGCCCCATGGAGAACATGAAGACCATGAACGTACATATAAGCAGATGGTAGCCTAAAGAAAAAAGAACAAATAACCCTACACAACCCGCTAAAAAAGTCCCTAAAAGCTTAAGAAGTTGCCCAAGTTCTAAACAGATATATACATGTCAAGAGAATACATCCTCTTCAACCCAAAAAAACGCTTCTAGTAGCCATACACCGAATTTATCATACTTCCAAAATTTGATGCATAAACCACTTCCATGTATTCCAACAATCACTAAGCCTAACACCATGCTTCCCCTAACCAGGTTGTGGTACTTTAAACAGGTTCAGGGGACTCATACAGACAATATGAGGACCATGAACACATGTTGCAACCACAAGAACCTGGTACAAAAAGGAGGCAAATAGATTTCCTTTGCACAACCCGTATGGGTAGGCAAAACCAGTAAAATTACAGTTTGAATACAAGCATTTTCCACAAATGGGTCCAAAAATTCACCAAATTGCATACTACTAGCATCCAGAAAACTGTAGATCTGCCAGCATCCACAACAGCTGCAACACTCATCCACAAACTCGGATGATTAGTAAAACCTGTCCATGTGTGAAGATAAAATGAGAACAGCCAAACAGAGAACTGCATATGCTCAGGATACAATAGTACGATTGTGGAGAAGTGGTTTGGAAATACTCTTTGGATCCAATAGGACGCTCGAGATCCTCAGCTAGCAATCTAAAAATGAATGAACACTTCGGTCGGGGGTGCCAGAATTAACACTCCGACGGATAAGTCAGTGTATACTTTCTTGGTTGCTTGTATCTTCAGTTAAACATACTAATTCTCTCATACCTTGTGTTAGCTGATACTCTCCTTATTTATAGTCGTCCTTGATGTTGACAGTGGGTCCCGCCTTTCTTCCAATGAATAATCCTTCATTCGGCTAACTCTTCGTGCTTTGGCCTGGTCTACAACTGACGATTCTGCTGATCTATTTACTCAGCCTCGGTCCCTCCGTGATGGAGTCGTATAATTCACAACTTGGTTTCTCTCTTCAGTCTATTCGGCCTCTGAATATATTTAATTTTATTCGGCCCCCACAATTGCCCTCCAAACATCCTATTAACGTCAGTTAGTCGACATGTTTGGTCCTTGGACCGAAAGAGTCAGAAAATACGGCGGTATCCCTTACTCTAATGCAAGCATCAAGACACCTACTACTTTTGAGCATCATTACGGTTTCCCGTCCCTTCGTACACTTCATTCATTTAATACGATTTGAAACCGCGCTGTCTTTTCGTCTGTATGTTCTTTCTTGAATGCTCAAGATTTCTCGTTGCCTGTCAATTCAACTCCCTCGCTTCTCGCCTTCTGTAACTTTTTTCCGCTCTCCATTGTCTTCCTCATTTTTTGTAAGTTTCTCTTTCTTCCATCTCGACTCTTTTTTCCTTGTTTGCTTGCTGTGTAGAGTGTTTGTTTTTCATGCTATGATGGCTAGACAGTTAAGAGCCCTTCTTTCTACGGAGCGAGTTTCTGGTTTTTGTTGCTACTTTTCTATCCCCGACAACGTTCATCTGTCACTTTTGGCAGAGAACGTGATTGACACAGAGAGGACTGATGAGAGTACAATCGTCTTTCCTCTCTTGTCGATCGCGAAGGGCGGAGTCCATTTCCCCCTTCATCCACTTTTAAGGGTTGTCCTTCTTTATTGGGGTTTAATCTCTTCTCAGCCAAACGTAAACTTTTTCTGAATAATAATGGGTATTGTAGAACTAAACCGGCGCTTTAGGCTTAACCTTGGAGTCCCTGCCATGACATTGCTATGCCTTGGCTAAATCCTCTAGACGGCAGGGGCGTTACTTTCTCAGGGCCAAGGACACCGACCATCACTTGGTCACTGGCAAGCGAGTTGACGATGTTATGGTTGTGGTTCGTGAAAATTGGGAATTCGGCGAGGGCGAAGATCGTCAAGATCCGGTGCCCAGGCGAAGGGGCAAACCAGGTGGCCGTTTAATCTCCCATGAATCTTTACTAAATATTTTCTATTCAAATTCCATGTATTTACCATTTTAATTGTGCAGAAAACAACTTGAAGAAAGTTCTAGTTTCGGCCGATGACGCCGTACTTGCAGAGATTAGAATGGTACTCCAGTTCGTTGGCTGTCTGAGTCTCCAGAGACAAGGGAGGGCGGCCCACATTCTTCTGCAATACGAGCCAACCTATATCACTTTTTCAACGGCAGAACATATTCCGATTCCAATGGGCGAACAGCACCTTACGACACTTGTTTTTCCAAGCTTTAAGAATCTTAGGCTGATCGGTTTTGAGGATTCAGATTCAGAGCCGGCGGCCGAACAAGTTGCCGAAGGAGTCGTTGAGGAGCCGAATTAGCCATCTTTGGACAGGTCCGACGTACTAGAGGGGGAGGTTGACGCAGCACTAAATTTTACTTTTAAGGAAGCCGACTTCAATCCTCCATCCACTTCCGACCGAGCGACATCCTTCGAGGATATTTTTACCAACTTAGGGGACCTACCCGGCTCGTACCCTGACAACATGGCTGGTGAGTCGCTCACTTAATTGGCCAAATGGAAAAACGCCGAGAGGATGGCTGTGCGTAGGAGGGCCAAAGCCGAGCAAAACCAACCTCCACCCCCTCCACCCGACGCTAGGGAAGAAATTCCACCTGCTCCTGTTGAGGAGGTTGAGACCGCAGTGGTCAAAACGGAATCCGCTGTCGATCAACAAGAGGGTCAAGTGACGGAGCAAATGTGGAAAAAATGCCCGACCGTTCACAGGGAGGATTCTTTGGAAGAACCAATTGATAAACGGCCACGTATGGACGAATCTGACTTGGTTGTGTCGTTTACAATACAACCAAGGATAAAGAACATGTCGGTTGCCTCTGATACATCGACCATAAGAGACCCAGCCGTGGCCTTGAGCTTGGCGTCTTCCATTTCTCTGTCGGTTGACAAAGCAGCCTTTAGGGCAGAGTCGATCTTCTGGCCATTGAATTAGCCGCTCAATTGGCGATATTGGTAAGAGCCCCTTTATAATTTTGCAAGTGTTAACCCAAAGGGAAGTTCATGTTAGCTTATTGATCCCTTGTTCTGCAGGCGGCAGGGAGGATAGCTGAAATTGGCCGTCGCCAACATGACGCTATTGAACAGATCGGCTTTCTTACAGCCGAGTTGGAAAACGAGAGGCTTAAGGCAGCAGAGGCCTCTCTCCGAGCCGAGTCTGAGGCCATAAAAGCGGCGGCAGAGAGTGCTAGGGCCGATGCCGAAGAAAATAAGGCCAAGACTGCCGACGAACTGAGAGTGGCCGCCGAAGGAAGGGCGAATGCTAATGAGGAAGCGCTCAAGTCTGCCAGAGAGATAATTGCCAAGCTGGAGGCCGACTTGGAAGAGTCAAAGAGGGCGTTGGCAAATGCCGAGTCTGAGTTTTCCAAGTCATTCTAGAAAGGCAAAGATGCTGCCTTGGCGGACTATGTAGATAAAGTGCCGAAATTTGAAAATAAGGGGTTCAAACACGACTAGCTCAAAGCGTTGGCTGCCGCTAACATTGTATCAGATCAGCCAATTCCGTACGAGTAGGTAGACATTGAGCCGCTAGTGTCTGACCCTAAAGACTGACTTATAGTCAAGTATTTTTTCATTCTATTTTTTATATTGTGTGTATGTAGGTTTTGTTAGATTTATTAGGTTTTTTGAGAAACTGATGTAAGGTAGTTTTTATTTGTAAGATGACTTTTGTTTGTGCTCAGTTTATGAATGAAAATTACTTTTGTCTTTCTACCTGATGAATGTGCTCGTAAACGGCTAAGTAAGATATAAAATCATGAAATGAACTGCAGAATTAATCCAGCTCATGAGTAACTCTATAACACTGCAAGTTCGCTGAATAAATTAGGGCATATGCCCTTGCCCCGGCAGGTTGATGCAAAGGACCAACAAAATTGCTGAATCAATTAATAAGATCTAAAAATGACGGGCAAAAAATCTGCTGGGGCACCAAGGATATTCAGCTAGGAGCTCTGATATTTAAGCCAAATAGATTGATGCGTTTGCCCTTGCCTCAGCAAGTTGATGAACAAGATCGCCGAATTAATGAATAAGACCTAAAAACGGCAGGTAAAAACTCTGCTGGGGCACCAAGGATATTCAGTTAGCTCTGATATTTAAGCCGAATAGATTGATGCGTCTGCCCTTGCCTCAGCAAGTCGATGAACAAGATCGCTGAATTAATGAATAAGACCTAAAAATGGCAGGTAAAAACTCTGCTGGGGCACTAAGGATATTCAGCTAGCTCTGATATTTAAGCCGAATAGATTGATGAATCTGCCCTTGCCCCAGCAAGTTTGAACGAAACTGCCTAAAAACGACAGTTTAAAACTCTGCTGGGGCACCGTGGATATTTGGGCTGAATTGATTGATGAATCTGCCCCTGCCCCAGCAAGTTTGAACAAAACCGCCTAAAAACGATAATTCAAAACTCTGCTGGGGCACCATGAATATTCGGGCCGAATGGATTGATGAATCTACCCTTGCCCCAGCAAGTTTTAACGAAGCCGCCTAAAAATGACAGTTCAAAACTCTACTAGGGCACCATGGATATTTAGGCCGAATGGATTGATGAATCTGACCTTTTCGCAGCAGATTAATGGTGGATAATGATTAGCGACTGTTCATGAATTGGCTAGGGAAGCCTGTCTGTTCGGCACAAAGGCTTACGTAAGGCCAAATAGATTAATTAATCTACCCTGCCCCAGTGGATTAGTGAATGTTTCTGCGGATTAACAGTCATTTATGATTTGGCTTGGGCAAAGTTGAAGGTATCGCTTTGGGAGCGGTGCATCTGTGGTTAATAAAAAGGAAGCTGCTTCGTGCGCGTAGGTCCCATTGGCATGCTAAGGTTTAACTCAAACCAGTCTGTTGAAGAAGGTTAGCTAAGTGTGAATGTCAGGTAGACTATTCTTCAACAGCAGAGGAGAGGGTAGGACACTAGCTGAGCTGAACTCAGCGATGAATCGAGGTGGGGAACCATCGCGAACGGGAACTAGGGCGTCTGGAGAGCGGGAGAGGCGTCACTCTTCTCGTCGTTGAAGCAGGTCGCCTAGAAGGGAAAAGTGACAACGGAGGAATTCCCTCCATTCACGAAGCGAAGCCAGTAGGCCACCGCCCCCGTTGAGTTTTTCAGTCTTCATCGGGAACAAACCGATGACGGAAGCATATTCGATCATCTGAGATCCAAGTGTGGCAGTCAAATTTGCACGGCAGATTTCTCCACTGGAGGTCCAACAGTCGATGATTGGTCAACAAGATTTTGAAGTGTTTCGAGAGGGCGTTCACGGAGCAGTGAAAGGGCTATACACCGCTTATGAGATCGGCATGTGCCTTCATGCCGCGCAGCGAGAGATCAAAAAGAAAGATGAACACATTCGTAGTTTAGAGGCCCGCGCGGAGAAAGCCGAGCGGGAGTTATCAAAAGTCAAAGCCGCTGAAACTCAGTCGGTCGACCTAGCTAACCCGATTGTAGAGGAAAGGGTGACCCAGCGTCTTATAAGTCACGGGATTGCCGATCACGACACGGCAAGCATGTTTGCAATAGAGGCTGCGAGGTCCCGGGCTTATGAATAAGGCTTACATGCGGGCCGAAAAGTTGGGATAGAGAAGACGGAAGAAAAGCTCGCCGAGAAGGTCTGCCAATTTGAGAACCGTGGATTCAAACACGGGTGGATCAAGGCTCCCCAGGCCACAGAGTCTTTTTGGGTAACAGGTGTTTGTAGACGCGCCCGTGGGCCTCACTACAGTTCAGACTCAATTTGTGCCACGGTCCTTAATCTGAACCAAAGAGTCCAAATCCGACAAATCGCTTTGAGAAACAGATTTTTGAAAAGAAGTGCCAAACATGAACTGCTTTTCCAGATACAGAGTCGCCACCTAAATATTTTTTATGGGGGAATTTAGGAAACCCTGACACGGTTTGCTTCGACTCGGGAGCTTGGGTACGATTGGGGAAGGTTAGCTATGAGCACCCCCTCTCGCCCGATCCAAAGATCGGCCTTTACTAACCGTGATATCCGTTTTTGAAAACGTTATGTGTTCTTAAACCAATTATTAGCCTAGAATTACTACG